CACGCCCCCATTCACATCAACGGGGCTGTAGTGGAGCAGGTCGAGAGTTTCAAGTTCCTTGGTGTTCACATCCCCAACAAACTATCATGGTCCAAACACACCAAGACAGTTGTGAAGAAGGCATGACAACGCCTATTCCCCCTCAGGAGACATTTGGCATGGGTCCCCAGATCCTCAAAAGGTTCTACAGCTGCACCATCGAGAGCATCCTGACGGGTTGCATCACCGCCTGGTATGGCAACTGCTCGGCATCCGACAGTAAGGCGCTACAGAGGGTAGTGCGTACAGCCCAGAACATCACTGGGGCCAAGCTTCCTGCCATCCAGGACCTATATACTAGGCGGTGTCAGAGGAAGGCCCTCAAAATGGTCAAATACTCCAGTCACTCAAGTCATAGACTTCTCTCTGCTACCGCACGGCAAGCGGTACCGGAGCGCCAAGTCTATGTCCAAAAGGCTTCTTAACAGCTTCTACCCTCAAGCCATAAGCTAAATAATTAATCAAAGGGCCACCCGGACTATTTGCATTGACCCTCGCCTTTGTTTTTACACTTCTGCTACAAGCTATTTATTATCTATGCATTGTCACTTTACCCCTACCTACATGTACAAATTACCTCGACTAACCTGTACCCCCGCACATTGACTCGGTACCGGTACCCTCTGTATATAGCCTCATTATTGTTATTTTATTGTGTTATCTTTTAGATTTTTTACTTTAGTTAATTTAGTAAATATTTTCTTAACTGCATTGTTGGTTTAAGGGCTTGTAAGTAAGCATTTAACAGTAAGGTCTACACCTGTTGTATTCAACGCATGTGACAAATAACATTTGATTTGATGGTCAAAGAAAGACAATGGAAAGTATTCAGACCCCTTGACTTTTTCCACATTTTGTTACATTACAGCCTTATTCTTAAATGGATTAAATAAATGTTTTTACTCCTCAATCTACACACAATACCCCATAATGACAAAGCAAAAACAGAAATACCTTATATACGTAAGTATTCAGAGCCTTCGCTATTAGACTCGATATTGAGCTCAGGTGCATCCTGTTTCCATTGATCATCCTTGAGATGTTTCTACAACTTGATTGGAGTCCACCTGTGGTCAATGAAATTGATTGGACATGATTTGGAAAGGAACACACCTGTCTATATAAGGTCCCACAGTTGACAGTGCATGTCAGAGCAAAAACCAAGCAATGAGGTCGAGGGAATTGTCCGTAGAGCTCAGAGACAGGATTGTGTTGAGGCACAGATCTGGGGAAGGGTACCAAAAAATGTCTGCAGCATTGAAGGTCCACAAGAACACAGTGGCCTCCATCATTCTTAAATGGAAGAAGTTTGGAACCACCAAGACTCTTCCTAGAGCTGGCCGCCCGGCCAAACTGAGCAATCGGGGGAGAAGGGCCTTGGTCAGGGAGGTTACCAACAACCCGATGGTCACTCTGACAGAGCTCCAGAGTTCCTCTGTGGAGATGGGAGAACCTTCCAGACGGACAACCATCTCTGCAGCACTCCACCAATCAGGCCTTTATGGTAGAGTGGCCAGACTGAAGCCACTCCTCAGTAAAAGGCACATGACTGCCCGCTTGGAGTTTGCCAAAAGGCACCTAAAGGACTCAGACCATGAGAAACAAGATTCTCTGGTCTGGTGAAACCAAGATTGAACTCTTTGACCTGAATGCCAAGCGTCACATCTGGAGGAAACCTGGCATCATCCCTACTGTGAAGCATGGTGGTGGCAGCTTCATGTTGTGGGGATGTTTTTCAGCGGCAGGGACTGGGAGACTAGTCAGGATCGAGGGAAAGATGAACGGAGCAAAGTACAGAGAGATCCTTGATGTTAACCTGCTCTTCTAAAAACCTGTTTTCGCTTTGTCATTATGGGGTATTGTGTGTAGGTTGCTGAGGATTTTATTTATTTTATCCATTTTAGAACAAGGCTGTAACGTAACAAAGTAGAACTAGTCAAGGGGTCTGAATACTTTCCGAAGGCACTGTATATGCTCCATTTACCTTGGTAGGGATGGAGATTGATAATACCAGAGGAGAATGGTCACTAAGCAATCTGGGGAGATAATTGGTATCTAACACTCTATGAACAGTTGGGTTGATAGCAAAAAGTTATCTATGCGTGTGGGTGTGAGTAAAAATAATAGTCCCTATCCTGTGGGTGCATCTGTCTCCAAACGTCTAGTAAATTGAAATCCTTCATGAATGACATGGTGAGCTTGGTGGCTTTGGAGATGCAGGGTGGGAAGATGTACAGTAGAGAGAGGATGATACATTAGCTGAAGTGATGGTGACAACCATAACAACAACGCTGAACTTCTGTGTCAGTGTGCAAGTTACATTTCTCCATGGCCTTTATCTATTTTTATTTTAAATATACTTTTGCTTCTTTTTGAGAGACTACATTGAAGAGCAGACAGTAAAGATAGAAGGATTGCAAGTCAGAAGGGTAGTCGTTGAACTTTAACCCACGCTCACTTTGGTAGCCTAGGCTGTGCAAAGAAAAAGCCATATCTGCCCATCATAATCTTTTATTTTTATTGGCCAGTCTGAGATATGGCTTTTTCTTTGCGACTCTGCCTAGAAGGTCAGCATCCCGGAGTCGCCTCTTCACTGTTGATGTTGAAACTGGTGTTTTGACCTAGGGAATAGGGTGTCATTTTGGACATAGCCAGTGTCTCTCATCAGGACAATTCCTCACTGCCACACCGACAGAGATGGAGTGGATCAGTTGTTTTATCTGTGTGCGTGCATCAAAGTGAAGCGTCTGCCTGTTACTATGTGGCTCAGGTTTACTTTTCATGCATGCTGCCGCTGTGCAGCTGTGTGAGTGGCTGAGAGCAGTAGCAGTGTCTCCAGCAATTAAACGGTTAACTCTCAGCAGCTCCTCTTCTGAGTGGGGAGAGGCCATTTGAATGGTTAGCTCCCCCAACCAGACAACACATTGGTTAAAGCTGAGGGTGGATCTGCGGCTGCAACTGTGCTACAGAGTGGAGTCTACTCCCTGCACTGGATCAGGAGTCTGTGTGCTGTGTGGAGGCCTGCAGTCAGAATGAGCGGCAGTGTGTGTGTGTGCGTTTGTATTTTTTGGGGGGGAGGGGTCGTCTATGTTGCAGTTGAGGTGAGAGACTGGAGGGGAAAGGGGGAGGCAGAGGGAAAACCCCAAATTCAGAGAAAATACTGTCAAGATGATTTGATTGTCAATGTAAGCTTCTCATCCAGAAATGTGTGTATCTAAACCCCTCTGTCTAGGATTTGAACAGAGGTAGGGAAACATTTGATACAGTTCTATTATCCGTCATTACCCTACTTTTACACAGATTTTAAGCATAGCACTGTTAAAGGAGTTTATCACTCCACAGTATGTCGTCAGTCACTTCTTTCTCTCATAATGGTTTTGCTCTGCATTTTCGTATATAACTATATCTTTAGGTGTGTAAGTGTGTGTGTGCGCAGTTTGCTTGTTCAGTCAGTTGTTAATGCACACACACTCAAAGAGGCCTTGTGGGCTGACCTGTGGCCTGACCTGTGGCCTGACCTGTGGCCTGACCTGTGGCCTGACCTGAGCCCCTTGTTAGGCTGTTGGCCAATCTTAATCTGGCTCTATATGACTATATGGGATGAGCTAATCTGGTGGACAGGCAGTCAGCAAGGTGTTTACCTCTCTCTGACACACACACACTGCCAATGCCAACTGGCTCTGCACCTCCAGCGATGGCACTGAACTTTACTGTGTGTGTACATGTGTGTGAGCCCAGTGCATTCTTGCCAGCTTGGCACTAGATGAAGCATGTTTGTGTGTGTGTAGCCTAGGTCACGTTGTTAGGAAGAGGCCAAGGAATCAGTAGCATTCAGTGTCTTCACAGCAAACCTGTGTCAAACACACACACTGAGTGTACAAAGCATTAGGAACACCTTCCTAATATTGAGTTGAACCCCCCTTTTGCCCTCAGAACAGCCTCAATTCGTCGGGGCATGGACTCTACAAGGTGTTGAAAGCGTTCCTCAGGGATGCTGGCCCATGTTGACTCCAATGCTTCCCATAGTTGTGCCAAGTTGGCTGGATGTCCTTTGGGTGGTGGACCATTCTTGATACACACGGGAAACTGTTGAGCGTGAAAAACCAGTGTCACTCAAACCGGTGCGCCTGGCACCTACTACCATACTCCGTTCAAAGGCACTTACATTTTTTGTCTTGCCCATTCACCCTCTGAATGGCACACATACACAATCCATGTCTCAGTTGTCTCCTCCCATTCATCTATACTGATTTGAAGTGGATTTAACAGGTGACATCAATAAGGGATCATAGCTTTCACTTGGTCAGTCTGTCATGGAAAGAGCATGTTTTATTTTATACACTCATATATATCAAATACTGAGTGAGAAAGTTAGAAGCACAAATATATATATTTATAATATATGTATTCTTGTTTACAGTAAAAGTGACTCCAAAATGACACAATACATTATTTACCATTAATTTCTATTGGGCATAAAATAATCTGAAACGCAACCAAAACAAACAGCAAATGCATCCAACAAATTTGTAGAGTCACAAGCTTGATGTAATCATTGCGTGCTATGAATATGGGACTAAATGCTTAACTTTTGACTACTTTAATACACATACAAGTGAATTTGTCCCAATACTTTTGGTCTCCTAAAATGGGGGGACTATGTACAAAAAGTGCTGTAATTTCTAAATGGTTCACCCGATATGAATGAAAATACCCTGACAGTCTGCACTTTAACCTCATACTCATTGTATCATTTGAAGTCCAAAGTGCTGGAGTACAAAGCCAAAACAACAACAACATTTCACTGTCCCAATACTTTTGAAGCTCACTGTATCGCCCATCCCTAGGTGGAAACGTTTTGAAACCGAGTGAAACGTGGAGATATTACCTGAACTCTTTCTCTCTATGTAAATCCTGTCACTAACCATTCCCCCCCTCTCTCCTTCTGCGCTCCCACAGTGTGCCCCCCCAGCTGTAAGCACCGGGCCTGTACCAAGGACAACCAGTGTTGCCATGAGTCATGTCTGGGAGGCTGCTCTGAGCCCCAGAACAGCAGCAGTTGTGTAGCCTGCAAGAACCTCCAGTACCAGGTACAGTATGGAGAGGTTCAACAGACGTTTCTCACAATTGATTAGTTGATAGTTGTTGTTTTTTTTTGGTTGATGTGGATGCTTCTATATACAACCATAGGGCGGTGCATAATTGGCCCAGCGTCGTCCGGGTTTGGCCGGTGTAGGCCGTCATTGTAAATAAGAATTTGTTCTTAACTGACTTGCCTAGTTAAATAAAGGTTAAATAAATAAAAAACGCAAAGAGAAATACATTTTAACAAGTTTTTATTCTTCAAGAATTCAATTTCTTGATGGGTGCTAGAGATGATTAATCGATGAATCGAAGTTAGTATTTTTTAAAATATAAAATAGATTTATAGTAAGATGTGTGCGTGCATACTAGACACAAGCTTACTTATCTATTGCTGGGGGGGGAAAGCTGAATCAAAACAGAATTGTGTTTATTTAAACTCAAATGTCTGTCCAGCAATGGAAAATATCACTTAAAATTGTTATATTACCAAATATTTGAATTGATATGGATGTTCTCCATCAACTAAACAATTCATCCACCTAATCCCTATTCCCTTATACCAGGAGGCCTGTGTGGACCGCTGTCCCCAGGGATACTACACCTATAGGGGCTGGCGCTGCGTCCCCTTCTCCTTCTGCCAGGACCTCCACAACAAGTGTAAGCAGAGCAAGAGCAGCGACTGCCATGAGTATGTCATCCACAATGGAGCCTGTATACCTGAGTGCCCCTCCGGATATACTACTGTCAACTCCACCACGTAAGTCTACTTACTGATTATTCAACTCTTTACACCATGGTCAACTCCACTACGTAAGTCTATAATACAGTACTATACACCACCATCAACTCCAGCACGTAAGCCTAAGCACTACGTTTGTAAGTCTACCTGTTTACTGTATCTATAGTCAACTCCACTATATATATGTCAAAATACTATACACATTGTACACGTACAATGCTGTATTAATTATTTTGTCAACTCAACAATGAAGGGTAAGTCTACTCTATACACCACTTAAAGTCTTCACTACCTTAGTCTTATTACTGTGTTAATACTAAAGTGAACACCATAACGTTTGCATTTGCACAAGATGGGGTATGGGAAAGGAACTTGTACATCTGCAGTCATCTCAATATGCACATATCTGCAGTCATCTCAATAGGTACATATACAGTCGTCGCAGTGTGGTTTCAGAGGGTGTTGTGCCAGTTAGAACACAACGCTGCAAAAGCTCTCTGCATCCCGTCCTGCTACTGTCTGCTGTGCAGTACAGCATGACAATGCAGTACTGCAAGGCTCCCGCGTTGTACTCCGACTGTGTGTGCGTGCGTGTGACTCTACAGCGTGAGTGTGGAGGCGTTGGTTGGCACAGTGTGTTCTCTATGCAGACAGTTCAGCTAGTTCAGGTCAGAGCAGCTAGCAAATCAGGCAGGCAGGGAAAACAGGGCAGTAGTGTGTGTGCAGTGTTTTGTGTTGGCCTACAGTCTAAATTCCTCATAGCATTTCATTTCTGTTTGCGATTGTTGTCACCACTCCATAGCTGAGTAGCTGAGCCAGTCTGAACTTCGCCAGCTGAGACAGTCTGTCATTCAGGGCTAGGCTACAGTGCTCATTGATTTGCCAATAACAATGTTTAAGGTTGTGTGTGTGTGTGCTTGTGTGCGTTCTAATCCTGGCTCGCCACTAGAGAGAAGGAGCTGGGTGTGTGTGTCACACTGACCTTCATCTACTCCCTCGTGTGTGTGTGTGTTAGACTCCAGACACACTAATCATTAGTTGGACAGAGATGGGTCTGGCCTCTTCGTGCCTTTTGTTACAGCGTGGCTTGCTGGGTGAAAGCTGGGTAGGGGCTGGTTGGGTGAAGACTGGGTAGGAGCTGGTTGTGTGGTTGGGTAGCGGCAGGCTGGAGGGTGGGCCAGGGTTGCTGGCTGGAGTCTGATGGTCGCACAGGTTATGGCTTGCATTTCAACACCCTACCCGCCACCCATTGTCCTCTCCTCAAATCTCTCATTCGGCTCTCTATTTCTCCTCTCTCTCTCCTCTCACATCTTTTTCCTACTCTCTCTCTCTCTCCCCTATCCCCGCTCTTTTCCCCTCTCTCTCTCTCTCTCTCTCTCTCTCTCATTCTCCCTCTCTCCCGCTATACATAATAAGTTCTGTTGTAAGTCATCACACCTGCCTATCATTATTGAATGTGTTCCAACTGGCACCCTTTTCCTTATTTAGTGTACTACTTTTTACCAGGGCCCATAGGGACTATAGTGCACTATATAGGGAATAGAGTGCCGTTTGAGATACAGCCATTCTTGTCCAACCTCAGTAGTTACTGGGGTCATTCGCTGGTGCTACAACAGTGTTGCTCTATCCGACACCACATACCGCCACTCCTCACGTACTAGTTTGAGCAAATCATACATGGACACGAGTTGCCATGAAAATATGCTACTATAGCTGCAGAAACTAGGGCTGACCCCATTTAATCGACTGAACGATTGTTTGGTCGATATGCTGTTGGTCGAACAATATATTTTTAATCGAGCAGTAACAAATATGTATGTTTTTTATGGCACACAAGACACCTGGCTGATTTGCGCCTGTCTCAGTGGGCTAATCCATTACATAAGTATTCAGACCCTTTGCTATGAGGAGGGCCTACAGCTCAGTTGGTAGAGCATGGCGCTTGCAATGCCAAGGTTGTGGGTTCGTTTCCCATGGGGGGCCAGTATGAACAAATGTATGCACTCACTAAACTGTAAGTCACTCTGGATAAGAGCTTCTGCTAAATGACTAAAATGAGAGAGAGAGAGAGAGAGAGAGAGAGCCCAATGCTCCATCCTGCGACCTAAGAAGTTAGTATCAGATGCTCAACATGCTCTGCTCACTCCTACTGTAATGGTCCAGCCCTAAACCACACGAAAACAACACTAGACACTATAGAACACAAAGCTTTTACTATGTCATCCTGGAATATACAAGGTCTGAGGTAATCTGCCTTTGGCCTAAAAAGCAGGAACCCAGACCTCATCAAATAAATTGGAAATACAGACATTGTCATCCTACAACAAACATGGTATAGAGGAGCAGGACCCACTGATTGCCCTCTACGTTACAGAGAGCTGGTAGTCCCATCCACCAAACTACCAGGTGTGAAACAGGGAAGAGACTCAGGGGGTATGCTAATTTGGTATAGGGCAGACCAAACCCACTCTATTAAATTAGTCAAAACAGGAACATTTTACATCTGGCTAGAAATTAATAAGGAAAGATCTGAACTGAGAAGAATGTCCTCGTGTGCTACCTATATCCCCCCAATAGAATCCCCATACTTTAACGATGACAGTTTCTCCAGAGGGGGTGTTCAACCATTTCCAGGCCCAGGGACATGTACTAGTCTGTGGCGACCTAAATGCCAGAACTGGACAGGAACCTGACACTCTCAGTGCACAGGGGGACGAACACCTACCTGGAGGTGACAGTGTTCCCTCCCAAATATGCCCCCCTAGACACAACTATGACAAAACAACCAACAAAAATGGGTCACAACTCCTGCAGCTCTGTCGCACGCTGGTTCTTTACATAGTCAATGGTAAGCTTCGAGGAGACTCCTATGGTAGGTAGACCTACAGCTCATCCCTTACTTTATTACTGACCTCAACCCAGAGTCTCTCAGAGTGTTCAGTCAGCCCACTATCAGTTCACAGCAAAATCACAGTCTACCTAAACAGAGTAATACTCATCAAAGCCAAAGGAACTGCACAATATTAAGAAATGCTATAGATGGAAGGAAAGTAGTGTAGAAACCTACCAAAGAACAATTAGGCAACAACAAATTCAATCCCTTTTAGACAACTTCCTGGACAAAACCTTTCACTATAATAGTGAAAGTGTAAACATGGCAGTAGAAAGCCTAAACAGTATATTTGACCTTTCAGTTTCCCTATCAAATCTAAAAATGTCAAGCAGACAACCAAAGAAAATTAACAACAATGACAAATGGTTTGATGCAAAAACCTAAGAATGAAATTGAGAAACATATCCAACCAAAAACATAGAGACCCAGAAAACCTGAGTCTAAGCCTTCACTATGGTGAATCACTAAAACAATACAGAAATACACTACAGTAATTGAATAATCCATAGAATCTAACCACTTCCGGGAAAATTGGAACACACTAAACAAACAACAACACGAAGAGTTGCCTATCCAAAACGGAGATGTGTGGATAAACCACTTCTCCAATCTTTTTGGCTCTATAACAAAGAACAAAGAGCAAAAACATATAAATTATCAATTACAAATCTTAGAATCAGCTATTAAAGACTACCAGAACCCACTGGATTCTCCAATTACATTGAATGAACTACAGGACAAAATACAAACCCTCCAACCGAAAAAGACCAGTGGTGTTGATGGTATCGTACATGAAATGATCAAATATACAGACCACACATTCCAATTGGCTATACTTAAACTCTTTAACATCATCCTCAGCTCTGGCATCTTCCCTAATATTTGGAACCAAGGACTGATAACCCCAATCCACAAAAGTGGAGACAAATTTGACCCCAATAACTACCGTGGGATATGCGTCAACAGCAACCTTGGGAAAATCCTCTGCATTATCATTAACAGCAGCTTTGTACATTTCCTCAGTGAAAACAATGTACTGAGCAAATGTCAAATTGGCTTTTTACCAAATTACTGTATTTACCCTGCACACCCTAATTGACAAACTAACAAACCAAAACAAAGGCAAAGTCTTCTCATGCTTTGTTGACTTCAAAAAAGCATTTGACTCAATTTGGCATGAGGGTCTGCTATACAAATTGATGGAAAATGGTATTGGGGGGAAAACATACATCATCATAAAATCCATGTACACAAACAACAAGTGTGCGGTTAAAATTGGCAAAAAACACACACATTTCTGTCCACAGGGCTGTGGGGTGAGACAGGGATGCAGCTTAAGCCCCACCCTCTTCAACATATATATCAATGAATTGGCAAGGGCACTACAACAGTCTGCAGCACCCAGCCTCACCCTACTAGAATCTGAAGTCAAATGTCTACTGTTTGCTGATGTTCTGGTGCTTCTGTCCCCAACCAAGGAGGGCCTACAGCAGCACCTAGATCTTCTGCACAGATTCTGTCAGACCTGGGCCCTGACAGTAAGTCTCAGTAAGACAAAAATAATGGTGTTCCAAAAAAGGTCCGGTTGCCAGGGCCACGAATACAAATTCCATCTAGACACCGTTGCCCTAGAGCACACACAAAACTATACATTCCTCGGCCTAAACATCAGCGCCACAGTTAACTTCCACAAAGCTATGAATGTTCTGAGAGACAAGGCAAGAAGGGACTTCTATGCATCAAAAGGAACATAAAATTTGTATGTACACACAGTGAGGGAAAAAAGTATTTGATCCCCTGGTGATTTTGTACGTTTGCCCACTGACAAAGAAATGATCAGTCTATAATTTTAATGGTAGGTTTATTTGAACAGTGAGAGACAGAATAAAAACAAAAAGATCCAGAAAAACGCATGTCAAAAATGTTAAATTTGCATTTTAATGAGGGAAATAAGTATTTGATCAATCAGAAAGATTTCTGGCTCCCAGGTGTCTTTTATACAGGTAACGAGCTGAGATTAGGAGCACACTCTTAAAGGGAGTGCTCCTAATCTCAGCTGTTACCTGTATAAAAGACACCTGTCCACAGAAGCAATCAATCAATCAGATTCCAAACTCTCCACCATGGCCAAGACCAAAGAGCTCTCCAAGGATGTCAGGGACAAGATTGTTGACCTACACAAGGCTGGAATGGGCTACAAGACCATCGCCAAGCAGCTTGGTGAGAAGGTGACAACAGTTGGTGCGATTATTCGCAAATGGAAGAAACACAAAATAACTGTAAATCTCCCTCGGCCTGGGGCTCCATGCAAGATCTCACCTCGTGGAGTTGCAATGATCATGAGAACGGTGAGGAATCAGCCCAGAACTACACGGGAGGATCTTGTCAATGATCTCAAGGCAGCTGGGACCATACTCACCAAGAAAACAATTGGTAACACACTACGCGGTGAAGGACTAAAATCCTGCAGCGCCCGCAAGGTCCCCCTGCTCAAGAAAGCACTTATACATGCGTCTGAAGTTTGCCAGTGAACATCTGAATGATTCAGAGGAGAACTGGGTGAAAGTGTTGTGGTCAGATGAGACCAAAATGGAGCACTTTGGCATCAACTCAACTCGCCGTGTTTGGAGGAGGAGGAATGCTGCCTATGACCCCAAGAACACCATCCCCACCGTCAAACATGGAGGTGGAAACATTATGCTTTGGGAGTGTTTTTCTGCTAAGGGGACAGGACAACTTCACCGCATCAAAGAGACGATGGACGGGGCCATGTACCGTCAAATCTTGGGTGAGAACCTCCTTCCCTCAGCCAGGGCATTGAAAATGGGCCGTGGATGGGTATTCCAGCATGACAATGACCCAAAACACACGGCCAAGGCAACAAAGCAGTGGCTCAAGAAGAAGCACATTCGAGTTGCCAAACGTCAGCCTCGAAACCTTAATGACTTGGAGAAGATCTGCAAAAAGGAGTGGTACAAAATCCCTCCTGAGAAGTGTGCAAACCTGGTGGCCAACTGCAAGAAACGTCTGACCTCTGTGATTGCCATCAAGGGTTTTGCCACCAAGTACTAAGTCATGTTTTACAGAGGGGTCAGATACTTATTTCCCTCATTAAAATACAAAACAATTTATAACATTTTTGGAATTTTTTGTTGTTATTCTGTCTCTCACTGTTCAAATAAACCTACCATTAAAATTATAGACTGATCGTGTCTTTGTCAGTGGGCAAACGTACAAAATCAGCAGGGGATCAAATACTTTTTTCCCTCACTGTATATGGACGAGCGATGTTAGAGCTGCATGGACTAAGATACAGTAGAATAGTATAGAATACGGTATATACATATGAGATGAGTGATGCAGATATGTAAACATTATTAAAGTGACTAAGATACCGTAGAATAGTGTAGAATACAGTATATACAGTGGCTTGCGAAAGTATTCACCCCCCTAGGCATTTTTCCTATTTTGTTGCCTTACAACCTGGAATTAAAATTGATTTGGGGGGGGGGTTGTATCATTTGACAAAATATTTCCTGAGCTAATGAAGTAAAAAATAATACATAAAAAAACAAAATACCGCAAAGTTTCCTCAGAGCTCGTCGCGAGGCCGCCATCTCCGTCGGCGCCATCAGGTTAGGCCGATACCCGCTAATGATCAAAATCCAGAAAAGAGCTGTTCAATTCTTCAAGCACCTAAAAGGAAGCGATTCCCAAACCTTCCATAACAAAGCCATCACCTACAGCGAGATGAACCTGGAGAAGAGTCCCGTAAGCAAGCTGGTCCTGGAGCTCTGTTCACAAACACAAACAGACCCCACAGAGCCCCAGGACAGCAACACAATTAGACCCAACCAAATCATGAGAAAACAATATAATTACTTGACACATTGGAATGAATTAACAAAAAAAGACTGAGCAAACTAGAATGCTATTTGGCATAAACAGAGAGTTACCTGACCACTGTGACTGACCATCCAGGCTCTGTCGTAGCCGGCCGCGACCGGGAGACCCATGGGGCGGCACACAATTGGCCCAGCGTCGTCCAGGGTAGGGGAGGGAATGGCTGGCAGGGATGTAGCTCAGTTGGTAGAGCATGGCGTTTGCAACGCCAGGGTTGTGGGTTCGATTCCCACGGGGGGCCAGTATGAAAAAAATAAAAAATAAATAATGTATGCACTCACTAACTGTAAGTCGCTCTGGATAAGAGCGTCTGCTAAATGACTAAAATGTAAATGTAAAATGTGACTGAACCAACATTAAGGAAAGCTTTGACTATGTACAGACTCAGTGAGCATTGCTATTGAGAAAGGTTGAGACCTGGCTCTCAAGAGAAGACAGCAAGATTTGTTGCCACAAGAAAAGGACAACCAGTGAAGAACAAACAGCATTGTAAATACAAGCCACGTTTATTTATTTTCTGTTTTGTACTTTAACTATTTGCACATACTGTATATAGACACTTTTTTGTTTATCCATTTCACTTAGAGAGAGGGAGAGAGAGCCCACACACACTCTGGGATAACATAGTGAGTGTGGGTGCGGTTGTGTACTCACTACACCAGGTCATTCTCTCACCTCTCAAACCAGTCACCATAAAAACTACCTTGACACATCGTCATTTGTTTGGTTTGGCTCTGTGTTTGAAGGGCTCGATCAGGGCGTCACACATTTCATACTTCTCTCTTATGAAAGATTGTACTTAACTCCATTGTTAGGTTACAGAATAGTTCTCTCATCTTCTCTCCCTCTCTCTGGGAAGGTTGAGGGGTAAATGAGGGCATCGTAGCTCTTATGAAAGGATGTATGCCTACTTCCTTCAATTCATTGTGAGGTGAGTATAAGGTTATAGAGTAGCTGTTGGGCAAACACTGCTCGTGTGTGCGTGCGTGTACCGCCGAGTGAGAGTCTGATTATGGTTCCCACCTCCTGTGAGTCGAACTCAGTGACTGTGTGAACTCTCTGACTGTCTGTGTTAGTGTGTCTACCCCAAGAGTGTGTATTATCTGACTTGTGTGGGTTTGAACCGTATGACCCTAGGGCTGGGAATTTGCCAGGGACCTCCCAGTACGAGGTTATAATAATAATATAATATGCCATTTAGCAGACGCTTTTATCCAAAGCGACTTACAGTCATGTGTGCATACATTTTTACATATGGGTGGTCCCGGGGATCGAACCCACTACCCTGGCGTTACAAGGGCCATGCTCTACCAATTGAGCTACAGAGGACCACATTATCACGATACTGTGCCGATACGATATGTATTACGGTTCTATATGTATTGCGATTCGGTGTTCCAAACAAATTGCTCACCATATGTCTGCTGCAGAGGAACAAAAGAGAGCCATGAGAAATTGAGTTTTGGTACAGCCGATTTAGCGCTAGCTAACGTTAACTACCTAGAAGATACTTTGCCCCATCCCTATATTATCTGATCTGTGTGTATCATCAGATGTGTGTTTTCACTCTCCATCTCCTCCTGCAGGTTAATCTGTACTCCATGTGCTGGGCTGTGTCCGAAGGTGTGTATGGGCCAGAAGATGGTGGACTCTGTGACAGCAGCACAGGCTCTGAAAGGATGCACCGTGCTCAACGGCAGCATGGAAATCAACCTCAGAGGAGGAAGTTAGTATTGGGAGTGTTTACTACAGTGTGTGTGTGTGTGTGTGTGTGTGTGTCATTATGTCACCCCCCTGCTTTTAACCAAAGTTCCTTCTGAGTTAATAAGGATTTGATTGTGTGCGTGCGTAGATAACATAGCAGCAGAGCTGGAGGCTAACCTTGGTCAGTTGGAGGAGATTACAGGGTATCTGACCGTCCGGCGCTCCTACGCCCTCGTCTCTCTCTCTTTCCTCCGCAAACTACGGGTCATCAGAGGGGACACACTGATAGATGGGTAAGTTGACTTTCCTTCTCGTCCTCTTCCTCCACCTCTTTCTTCTTCCAAGCCCTGCAGTTCTTTCTCTTTCTACTCCTCCTCTTCCTCCTCCTCTCATATTCAAAACTATATCTGTCAATAATACTTAAAATACCCTTAAAAATACATAAATATAATGTGTCTGTCAGGGTTGGGATCAATTCCATTTCAATTCCAGTCAATTCAGAAAGTACACTGAAATTCCAATTCCAATTATCTTCAATGCTTTTCACTGAGGAAAATGTGGAATTGGAATTTGGTTTGCTTTCTGACTTGACTGGAATTTAAATGGAATTGACCCCAACCCTGGTGTCTGTTTCTTCCCCAGGGGCTACTCGTTCTATGCCTTAGACAACCAGAACCTGCGTCAGCTCTGGGACTGGAACAAACACAACCTGACCATCCTCCAGGGGCGCATGTTCTTTCAACTCAATATTAAGCTCTGCATGTCAGAGATCCGCAAGATGGAGGAGGTGACAGGCACCAAAGACAGACAGCACAAGAACGACATCGTATCCAAGACCAATGGAGACCAGGCCTCCTGTAAGGACCATACAGTCTTGAGTACACACACGCATGAACGCCAACACACACACACGCACAGACATATACACACTTGACATTTTAAAAACATTTTTGTCATTTAGCAGACGTTCTTATCCAGAGCAACTTACAGGAGCAATTAGGCTTAAGTGCCTTGCTCAAGGGCACATCAGCAGAGTTTCACCTAGTCGGCTCGGGGATTCGAACCAGCAACCTTTTTGATTTCTGGCCTAAAGTTCTAAACGCTAGGCTACCTGCCGACCCACACACATGCTTGTGCGCACACGCACGCACGTCTGTGGTGTGTCACAGACTTAGGACAGTGTAATACTGACCATATCCTGTGATAGTAACCATGCGTCTTTGTGTATGTGACTCTCAGGTGAGAACCAGGAGTTAAGGTTCACTCAGGTGCGTGCCACGCATGATAAGATCGTGATCAGGTGGGAACCGTTCTGGCCTCCTGACTTCAGAGACCTGCTGGGCTTCATGCTCTTCTACAAGGAAGCGTAAGTATGTCCAAAGCACTCAAGTTACTTTTGGGAATGAGCAGTTTCCAGAGAAGTGGGGTTTTAATTGTACCAGTACACTATGGGCCACAATCAGTCTTCCCTAGGAACTTACTGTATTAGATCAGTACCATTTAACGTCTTCCTTTCTGAAGAAGTTCGTGGAACATTCAATGTAGTCAAGTCTTCCCAGGAGCCAAGTACAATTCCTCCTTTCTAAGGACCTTTTTGGAGCAGTAACCATTCGTGTGTGTGTCTCCTTATTTCTTATCTATGCTAGTCTGCGTCTCTCCCCTCTCCCAGGCCCTACCCCAACGTGACAGAGTTTGACGGCCAGGACGCGTGTGGTTCTAACTGGGTAATAGTTGACCTGGACCCCCCAGCCCGGGCTACAGAGGGCAACCCACAGGTGGAGCCAGGTAACGTTTCATTCTCTTCTGTCTTACAACTGTATTGGAAAGGATAAATACCCGTACACTGTCAAAATCATGGAGGAAATCCAAAATGGAGGCTTGGATGCAGAAATATGATGTTTGTTAAGACATGATGCCCCAAAATGTGAATAAAGTGCATGAATAAAAGTGGACAAAACAAACGTTTTGGTTGATTTAAAGGTAGACTCAGCGATATGACGTAGATGCAGAAAGTAAACAGCATAGTGGGTCAATTTCCGCAACAACCAAGAGCATTGAAGTGAGAGGCTCAACTTCTCCGCTGTTTTGGTGCCATGGCTACCATGCTGTAACAGCGTGACGTGAACTCTTGCACGTGCGCAGATACTGTGTGTTACTGTGTGAGAGCAAAGTCTTGCATCTCACTCATCTCAATATCTGCGGCGCTGCTTGTGGCTACATCATTTCGCTGAGTCTACCTTTAATCCATCATGAGTGTCACCTGTTTGTCAATCTGTCTTAACAACTATACGGTTAAATGATTTTAGCTGCATAGCCATTCATATTTATTTGACAACTCTCAGCATACAGTACAGGTACATACTAGTCACTGTAGTAGCAAGGAAGGAACAGCCAGTGTTGCGCTCAGTAGTGTCCGTGCTGCAACACATAACAATACTATTGTTCCTTCCAGGTACCCTGATCTTGTCTCTGAAGCCCTGGACGCAGTACGCCATCATGGTCAAGACCCAGCTCTCTGCCTCTGATGAACACCAGGTCCTCGGAGCCAAGAGCAAGATCATCTACGTCAGGACCAACGCCACCAGTAAGAGCCCTTATTGAGATATAGGCTGCGTCTCAAATTACACCCTATTTCCTATGTAGTGCACTACTTCTGACCATTATGGGCCCTGGGCGAAGGTAGTGCACTATATAAGGAATAGGGTGCCATTTGTGACGCAACCATTACAGTTCTTAATTCAATTCTGTGAGTAAGATTCCTCATTCTCCCTGATGATCTCAAGCCCTCCTTCCCTTCCCCCAACCCCTTAATCAGACTAACAGGTAAGTGGACTATCCAATATATCAATCAGCTAGCAGGTTCTCCAGGGTCGAGGGTGGGATTCGACTGCCCCTGGTTAGGATAAGTGGTTTAAGAGCTACAGTAGCTGGTAGATTGGCTGTTGTCCTCTGCCTCACCTCAGCTGTTAGCTGAGGTGTGTCAAGGCTAATGGCACGAGAACAAGGAAGAGGAAGGAGATGATGATGATGAGACAGGAGTGCTACCTGTACCTCCCCATCTCATTGTCTCTTTCTCGTGCCAAATGTCTGTAGTCACTAGTCACTCAAGCTGAGGTCATGAATCTTCTGTCACCCTGTGTGTGTGTGTGTGTGTGTGTGTCACCCTGCGTGCATTTGGATCTCCCTGTGTGTGTGTGTGTGTGTGTCTCCAGAGGGCAGGCTGTGGTTTAGGGTTGAACACAGACCGGTGTCTAAATGAGTCTGACTGGCTTCCTTTATACTTGTTGTGCGTTGTTTCCTTCCTTCCTGATAAACCACATTACAGTGCAGCCGCGTGGCATGCCGCCTCCTCGCACCACACAGGCTGGTGTGAGGCAACAGTTGGCACACAACCATCAGAGGCAGGGAGGCGGGCAGGCATGTCAAGGGTGTTCTAGTTGCAGTTGCAACAGTGTTCTACTGTAGTTACAGTTTCACCCTCCTCGTCTCTAGCCTGGTCCCAGATCTGTTTCTGCTATATTGGCAAGTTTGGCTGGCATCCAGGCTACCTCTGTCTCTCTGTCTGTGTGGCGGTTGGACCGAACCTGGGTTCACATCCTGTCTTGTGTCATGACTCTATCACCCCCACATACCTCTAGGAGAAGCTGTCGTTAAACATGATCTTTGTTCTCTAAAGTTATAGCGGCTGGCACAGCACTGTCTGCAGGTTGGTTGGAGGGTAGGTGTGCGTTCTCAAGGGTGTTCTAGTTTTTCTAGTTTCAGAGTCTGACAATGTGGTCTGACCTGTACCCTGTAGGCGTCCTCATCAGACATGCAGACACTGTCAGTCACTGTCATCATCACTCACAGACCGAATGTAATCACACACCGGTACTGACAGTGATGCCTGGTACTCTCTGTCCTGTCTGCCAGTCACTCACCCTGTTTATTTTTTACCCCTCCCCCTTCCAATGCTGATACCAACACTATAGTTATTTAGAAATAAGCATATCGAACACTGTGAACCTTTTGCTCGTTATCATATTGTTATTTGACTAAATAAAGGGGTATTCATGTCCGGGCATTGACGTACGCAGGACTTCTAGTGCTCATTTCTCCCCAGTAGTTAGTTGATTGGTTAATTGACCAGAGAGTACGCTCACAGTCCAAAATTATTCCATGGTTAGCAAGGAAGAATGAATACATACCAGCAGTGCTGCAGACCTCAAGGCCCCGATTTGAATACCCCTGCTCTAACAGAATTGTGTACATCATAGACCAGGGATATTCAAATCTGGTTCTGGATCTTTTTCTACCTGGTAGTTAATTGCACTCACCTGATGTCCGAAGTTTTAATCCGTCCCAGATTAGAGGGCAGGTATGAAAATCAGCAGTGGAACTGGATTTAAGGTCCAGATTTGAGTTTCTCTGTCATAGACATTAGTAACCCCTATGGTATGTATATGTGTTCTCCCCCAGAACCGTCCGTGCCCCTGGACCCCATCTCGTCATCTAACTCGTCCTCTCAGATCATCCTGAAGTGGAAGCCCCCCACGGATCCCAACGGCAACATCACTCACTACCTGGTGTACTGTCAGCAGCAGCCTGAGGCCAGCGAACTCTACAAGTTTGACTACTGTCAGAAAGGTGTGTTTTAGAGAGACTGTTAAGTTCTATTGCATTCTACAAATGTAACTTCTGTCAGAAAGGTGGTTCATAGGCATCATATATACTGAATAAAAATATAAACGCAACATGCAACAATTTCATTAATTTTACTGAGTTACAGTTCATATGAGGAAATCAGTCAATTGAAATAAATTCATTAGGCCCTAATCTATGGATTTCACATGACCGGGAATACAGATATGCATCTGTTGGTCACAGATACCATAAAAAGTAGCCAATGGGCCTCTGGTTGTGAGGCCGGTTGGACGTACTGCCAAATTCTTCTCTAAAACAACGTATGAGGTGGCTTATGGTAGAGAAATGAACATTAAATTCTCTGGCAACAGCTCTGGTGGACATTCCTGCAGTCAGCATGCCCATTGCATGCTCCCTCAAAACTTGAGACATCTGTGGCATTGTGTTGTGTGACAAAACTGCACATTTTAGTGGCCTTTTATTGTCCCCAGCACAAGGTGCACCTGTGTAATGGTCATGCTGTTTAATCAGCTTCTTGATATGGCACACCTGTCAGGTGGATGGATTAGTTTGGCAAAACAGAAATGCTCACTAACAGGGATGTAAACAAATTTGTGCACAAAATTTGAGAGAAATATGCTTTTTGTGCGTGGGGAACATTTCTGGGAACTTTTATTTTAGCTCATGAAACATGGGACCAACACTATAGATGTTGCATTTATATTTTTGTTCAGCATAGTTATGCGATTATCATTAGTTTGACAAGAATTGAAAGAGTAGACTAGTTTTTATGACTACAGTGCATTCGGAAAGTATTTTCAACCCCTTTACTTTTTCCACATTTTGTTACTTTACAGCCTTATTCTAAAATTGATTACATCATTTTTTCCCCTCATCAATCTACACACAATAACCCCTAATGACAACGCAAAAACTAATTTTTAGAAATATTACATTTACATAATTATTCAGACCCTTTACTCAGTACTTTGTTGAAGCACCTTTGGCAGTGATTACAGCCTTGAATCTTCTTGGGTATGATGCTACAAGTTTGGCACACCTGTATTTGGGAAGTTTCTCCCATTCTTCTCTACAGATCCTCTCAAGTTCTGTCAGGTTGGATGGGGAGCGTTGCTGCACAGCTATTTTCAGGTCTCCCCAGAGATGTTCGATCGGGTTCAAGTCCGGGCTCTGGCTGGGCCACTCAAGGACATTGAGACTTGTCCCGAAGCCACTCCTGCGTTGTCTTGGCTGTGTGCTTAGGGTCGTTGTCCTGTTGGAAGGTGAACCTTCGCCCCAGTCTGAGGTCCTGAGATCTCTGGAGCAGGTTAACATCAAGGATCTCTCAGTACTTTGCTCCGTTCATCTTTCCCTCAATCCTGACTAGTCACCCAGTCTATGCTGCTGAAAAACATCCCTACAGCAAGATGCTGCCACCACCATGCTTCACCGTAGGGATGGCGCCAGGTTTCCTTCAGACGTGAGGCTTGGCATTCAGGCCAAAGAGTTCAATCTTGGTTTCATCACACCAGAGAATCTTGTTTCTCATGGTCTGAGAGTCCTTGAGGTGCCTTTTGGCAAACTCCAAGAGGGCTGTCATGTGCCTTTTACTGAGGAGTAGCTTCCGTCTGGCCACTCTACCGTAATCGGTGGAGTGCTGCAGAGATGGTTGTCCTTCTGAAAGGTTCTCCCATCTCCACAGAGGAACTCTGGAGCTCTGTCAGAGTGACCATCGGGTTGTTGGTAACCTCCCTGACCAAGGCTCAGTTTGGCCGGGCGGCCAGCTCTAGGAAGAGTCTTGGTGGTTCTAAACTTGTTCCATTTAAGAATGATGGACGCCACTGTGTTCTTGTGGACCTTGGGACCCTTCCTCAGATCTGTGCCTTGACACAATCCTGTCTCTGAGCTCTACGGACTATTCCTTCGACCTCATGGCTTGGTTTTTGCTCTGACATGCACTGTCAAATGTGGGACAGGTGTGTGCCTTTCCAAATCATGTCCAATCAATTGAATTTACCACAGGTGGACTCCAATCAAGTTGTAGAAACATCTCAAGGACGATCAATGTAAACAGGATGCACCTGAGCTCAATTTTTAATTTTAATACCCTTTTTACCCCTTTTTCTCCCCAATTTTGTGGTAGTTACAGTCTTGTCCAATCGCTGCAACGCCCATACGAACACGGTAGAGACGAAGGCCGTGCGTCCTCTGAAACACAACCCAACCGAGCCGCACTGCTTCTTGACACAATGCCTGCTTAACCCGGAAGCCAGCCGCACCAATGTGTCGTGGAGGAAACACTGTACACCTGGCGACCATGTCAGCGTGCACTGACGCTGGACCAATTGTGCGCCTCCCCATGGGTCTCCCGGCTGTGGCCGGCTGTGATAGAGCCTGGACTCAAACCAGGATCTCCAGTGGCACAGCTAGCACTGCGATGCAGTGCCTTAGACCACTGTGCCACTAGGGAGGCCCCCTATAAACCTATTTTCGCATTGTCATTATGGGGTATTGTGTGTAGATTGATGAGGAAAAAATTTATTTAATCCGTTTTAGAATAAGGCTGCAATGTAACAAAATTTTGAAAAAGTCAAGGGGTCTGAATACTTTCCAAATGCGCTGTATATTACTAATCTACCGCCTTCCATCAAAGTACCACCCACAGAGATTGATTGACAGGTCTGAAACCCTACCCACTCTGTGACTCACAAACATCCTGCCCCCTCCCCTGACAATCCCACCCACCATGATTGACTGACAGGCCAAACTGTTAAAGGGATAGTTCACCCAAATTACAAAATGACACATTGGTTTCCTTACCCTAAGTGTCCACAGCAGCAGAGCCAATAAAATACACAATTTGAAGAACAAACATCATTGTGGCAATTAATATCATAAATATGACTTTAATCTCAAGAGAAGACATTTTAATGTTAAAGGTTCTTACTTAGAAAATAGTCATGATCATTTAGAGTAGACCTAGTAGTGATGCACAGGTCAGCTGTTTGTTCATCACATCCACCCGCAATTGCTAATAACCCATCCGCAACCGCCCGACTATATGTGATAAAGTGAAAACCTGAGGCCCACACCTACCCTCAAAATTAGAAATGCTCTGTATGGTCTGATATGGTACAGTGCATTCGGAAAGGATTTTCAACCCCTTTACTTTTTCCACATTTTGTTACGTTACAGCCTTATTCTAAAATTGATTACATCGTTTTTTTCCCTCATCAATCTACACACAATACCCCATAATGACAACTCAAAAACAGGTTTTTAGAAATATTACATTTACATAATTATTCAGACCTTTTACTCAGTACTTTGTTGAAGCACCTTTGGCAGTGATTACAGCCTTGAATCTTCTTGGGTATGATGCTACAAGTTTGGCACACCTGTATTTGGGAAGTTTCTCCCATTCTTCTCTACAGATCCTCTCAAGTTCTGTCAGGTTGGATGGGGAGCGTTGCTGCACAGCTATTTTCAGGTCTCCCCAGAGATGTTCGATCGGGTTCAAGTCCGGGCTCTGGCTGGGCCACTCAAGGACATTCAGAGACTTGTCCCGAAGCCACTCCTGCGTTGTCTTGGCTGTGTGCTTAGGGTCGTTGTCCTGTTGGAAGGTGACCCTTCGCCTCAGTCTGAGGTCCTGAGATCTCTGGAGCAGGTTAACATCAAGGATCTCTCAGTACTTTGCTCCGTTAATCTTTCCCTCAATCCTGACTAGTCACCCAGTCTATGCTCCTGAAAAACATCCCTACAGCAAGATGCTGCCACCACCATGCTTCACCGTAGGGATGGCGCCAGGTTTCCTTCAGACGTGAGGCTTGGCATTCAGGCCAAAGAGTTCAATCTTGGTTTCATCACACCAGAGAATCTTGTTTCTCATGGTCTGAGAGTCCTTGAGGTGCCTTTTGGCAAACTCCAAGAGGGCTGTCATGTGCCTTTTACTGAGGAGTGGCTTCCGTCTGGCCACTCTACCGTAATCGGTGGAGTGCTGCAGAGATGGTTGTCCTTCTGAAAGGTTCTCCCATCTCCACAGAGGAACTCTGGAGCTCTGTCAGAGTGACCATCGGGTTGTTGGTAACCTCACTGACCAAGGCTCAGTTTGGCCGGGCAGCCAGCTCTAGGAAGAGTCTTGGTGGTTCTAAACTTGTTCCATTTAAGAATGATGGACGCCACTGTGTTCTTGGGGACCTTCAATGCTGCAGACATTTTTTGGTACCCTTCCCCAGATCTGTGCCTTGACACAATCCTGTCTCTGAGCTCTACGGACAATTCCTTCGACCTCATGGCTTGGTTTTTGCTCTGACATGCTCTGTCAAATGTGGGACAGGTGTGTGCCTTTCCAAATCATGTCCAATCAATTGAATTTACCACAGGTGGACTCCAATCAAGTTGTAGAAACATCTCAAGGACGATCAATGGAAACAGGATGCACCTGAGCTCAATTTTTTAATTTTAATACCCTTTTTACCCCTTTTTCTCCCCAATTTTGTGGTAGTTACAGTCTTGTCCAATCGCTGCAACGCCCATACGAACACGGTAGAGGAGAAGGTCGTGCGTCCTCTGAAACACAACCGAGCCGCACTGCTTCTTGACACAATGCCTGCTTAACCCGGAAGCCAGCCGCACCAATGTGTCGTGGAGGAAACACTGTACACCTGGCGACCATGTCAGCGTGCACTGACGCTGGACCAATTGTGCGCCTCCCCATGGGTCTCCCAGTTGTGACCGGCTGTGGCCGGCTGTGACAGAGCCTGGACTCAAACCAGGATCTCCAGTGGCACAGCTAGCACTGCGATGCAGTGCCTTAGACCACTGTGCCACTAGGGAGGCCCCCTATAAACCTATTTTCGCATTGTCATTATGGGGTATTGTGTGTAGATTGATGAGTAAAAAATGTATTTAATCCGTTTTAGAATAAGGCTGCAATGTAACAAAATTTGGAAAAAGTCAAGGGGTCTGAATACTTTCCAAATGCGCTGTATATTACTAATCTACCGCCTTCCATCAAAGTACCACCCACAGAGATTGATTGACAGGTCTGAAACCCTACCCACTCTGTGACTCTCAAACATCCTGCCCCCTCCCCTGACAACCCCAACCACAGTGATTGATTGACAGGCCAAACTGTTAAAGGGATAGTTCACCCAAATTACAAAATGACACATTGGTTTCCTTACCCTAAGTGTCCACAGCAGCAGAGCCAATAAAATACACAATTTGAAGAACAAACATCATTGTGGCAATTCATATCATAAATATGACTTTAAACTCTAGAGAAGACATTTTAATGTTAAAGGTTCTTACTTAGAAAATAGTCATGATCATTTAGACCTAGTAGTGATGCATGGGTCAGCTGTTTGTTCCCCACATCTAATAACCCATCCGCAACCGCCCGACTATATGTGATAAAGTGAAAACCTGAGGCCCACACCTAACCCGCAAAATTAGAAAATGCTCTGTACGGTCGGATATGACGGAACGATTTTGATAGGCTATTTGTTGGTCAACTTGTCTATTATTAGTTTCTCTTCTGTCATTACTTGTTGCCCTAGAAGACTAAATAAACCTTTGCTCACCAGAATAGTTGACATCGGTAAAGTTTTTTCTCTTCTCTTCCTCTTTTATCTATTCTTCTCTCCTGCAGCAAAGACGTTTAGGGACCGGGTAGACAATGCATAACCCCAAAGAAACTGGAAAGATTTTCCGTGCAAAATGTTCAAATTACATCAGTTTGACCGGTTTTAAGGAAATTAAAAGCTGTTAAAACAATACAATGTGTTTTTTATAAGATTTCATTTAGGCTTGAATGCATATTTTATGTGGTTGAAATAGTATAAACTTTTATGATGCTGATTAAGATAGCACCACCACCTTAACAGACGGACCCTAACCACGCATTCATTCTCTTAAGATGCTGAATGAAATCAATCATATTTCTCCACTCTTGTTCCCGATTCAAAATCATTTTACTGCAAGAAGTGCTCAATTCCAGTTAATATTATATTAGGCTATGTGAGAGGTCATAGACCTACAGTCAGTGTCCAGATTTCACTTAGGCTACTATTCCATTTAACCCATCAGGGCCCGGTTTCCCAAAAGCATCTTAAGGCTAAGTTCATCATTAGAACCATTGAGCTCATTGAATAGTATGGTTCCCTTGAGGTGCCATTTTGAAGTCCCCGTCTTGTGACTGACAAATTTGTATAGCGTCTCTCATAATCATCACACATAGCCTGCTATCATCCTCTACCACTACACCAAATCTTTCCGAAACATTATACTACTGTTCTGGCCCTCCCTTCTATTTATGTTTAACTGTCCATTTCACAGCTTTTCTCTTATTGAATTAAACTCCGACATTGTCCTTTTTGCCTCAATGGATCAACGTTACTTTTTCTGCCCGAATTCCCAAAAGCACTTGGCAATTGGCATGTATTTGTCACGGTACAGTTAGGCCCTGAAGCTTAGGCTTAGGCTACGCACTAACGGCAGATAAAAATTATGAAATAAAAAACTCCATGTAGCCTATACAGTGAGGGGAAAAAAGTATTTGATCCCCTGCTGATTTTGTACGTTTGCCCACTGACAAAGAAATGATCAGTCTATAATTGTAATGGTAGGTTTATTTGAACAGGGAGAGACAGAATAACAACAAAAAAATCCAGAAAAAAACGCATGTAAAAAATGTTATAAATGTATTTGCATTTTAATGAGGGAAATAAGTATTTGACCCCTCTGCAAAACATGACTTAGTACTTGGTGGCAAAACCCTTGTTGGCAATCACAGAGGTCAGACGTTTCTTGTAGTTGGCCACCAGGTTTGCACACATCTCAGGAGGGATTTTGTCCCACTCCTCTTTGCAGATCTTCTCCAAGTCATTAAGGTTTCGAGGCTGACGTTTGGCAACTCGAACCTTCTGCTCCCTCCACAGATTTTCTATAGGATTAAGGTCTGGAGACTGGCTAGGCCACTCCAGGACCTTAATGTGCTTCTTCTTGAGCCACTCCTTTGTTGCCTTGGCCGTGTGTTTTGGGTCATTGTCATGCTGGAATACCCATCCACGACCCATTTTCAATGCCCTGGCTGAGGGAAGGAGGTTCTCACCCAAGATTTGACGGTACATGGCCCCGTCCATCGTCCCTTTGATGCGGTGAAGTTGTCCTGTCCCCTTAGCAGAAAAACACCCCCAAAGCATAATGTTTCCACCTCCATGTTTGACGGTGGGGATGGTGTTCTTGGGGATCATAGGCAGCATTCCTCCTCCTCCAAACACGGCGAGTTGAGTTGATGCCAAAGAGCTCCAATTTTGGTCTCATCTGACCACAACACTTTCACCCAGTTCTCCTCTGAATCATTCAAATGTTCATTGGCAAACTTCAGACGGGCCTGTATATGTGCTTTCTTGAGCAGGGGGACCTTGCGGGCGCTGCAGGATTTCAGTCCTTCACAGCGTAGTGTGTTACCAATTGTTTTCTTGGTGACTATGGTCCCAGCTGCCTTGAGATCATTGACAAGATCCTCCCGTGTAGTTCTGGGCTGATTCCTCACCGTTCTCATCATTGCAACTCCACGAGGTGAGATCTTGCATGGAGCCCCAGGCTGAGGGAGATTGACTGTTCTTTTGTGTTTCTCCATTTGCGAATAATCGCACCAACTGTTGTTACCTTCTCACCAAGCTGCTTGGCGATGGTCTTGTAGCCCATTCCATCCTTGTGTAGGTCTACAATCTTGTCCCTGACATCCTTGGAGAGCTCTTTGGTTTTGGCCATGGTGGAGAGTTTTGAATCTGATTGATTGATTGCTTCTGTGGACAGGTGTATTTTATACAGGTAACAAACAGAGATTAGGAGCCAGAGATTAGGAGCACTCCCTTTAAGAGTGTGCTCCTAATCTCAGCTCGTTACCTGTATAAAAGACACCTGGGAGCCAGAAATCTTTCTGATTGAGAGGGGGTCAAATACTTCCTCATTAAAATGCAAATCAATTTATAACATTTTTGATATGCGTTTTTCTGGATTTTTTTGTTGGTATTCTGTCTCTCACTGTTCAAATAAACATACCATTAAAATGATAGACTGATCATTTCTTTGTCAGTGGGCAAACGTACAGAATCAGCAGGGGATCAAATACTTTTTTCCCTCCCTGTAGATATGAATTGACTCATGACTGCGGGTTATGATTCAACCCCGCGCATCACTAAGGCTTAGACCAGTGCCGTTCAAGCTTTTTCAGCGGGGACCCCATTATTTTCACCAGAATTTCTGAGGACCCCATTTTTTTTGCCAGAAATTCCCAAATCTAATGACACCGCCTTAAAATTTGTAAATTAAGATTTTCACATCAACAAATAACCTTCAATTATTTACATGTTCATCTTTCCTATCAAAATTAAGAGAACCAATACATACATTTACCCAATAAAATTTAAAAATTCAAATGATCTTTCTCAATAACATTTGTATATTGTCACATTCAATAATCTGTACTCTTAATTTTTTTTGAATACCACTGGCCTACGATATCCAAAACAATATCCAAAACAACTAACACCCTGAATTCATACATTTTCAGTCATTTTAATTGTTAAGTCACATCTTTCTACTCAATAACACAACTCATTGTTACCAATCTGGGAGGTAAAGTTGTTAAAGTATTCGATCATTTAGCTGTGTATTTCGGAATGGAATCAAGGCATTAGAATGTACCAGAGGCCACCAAAATAGAGCTTGTTCTGCAACAAAAAAAATCACAGAGGGGCAAGCCCCTCGGGATCACCCCAGTCCGGAACAGTGTGTGAGAGACTGTGAAGTTCTGTGATTCAGGTGGATGGAATAGTTATTTACCTGATTTGGCCTTCTCCTAATAAGTGGCAGCCACTCACTCTATGGCACACACACATGCTCTACTTTAACTTCTTCTCCTCTACTCCCACTCACTCACCCAAACATTCAAGAGTCTAGACAACACTAGTCTGTAAAGACAATTAATGACAGGCTCCCCCGGCAGTGTGTGTGTATATCTGTCTGTTTCTGTGTGCCTGTCTCTCTGCCTTTCTCTGTACCTCTGTCTCTGTGTCTCTGTCCAACTTTGCCTCTGACTCTCCCTGCCTCCCTCCAGGTATGAAGCTGCCATCGCGGGTGCCCACCCAAGTGGACAGTGATGAGGAGGCCAAGTGGAACCAGACTGAGGACGAGGGGCAGGGTGGCCGCTGCTGTGCCTGTCCCAAAACAGACAAACAGTTGAAGAAGGAGGCAGAGGACTCAGAGTACCGCAAGACCTTCGAGAACTACATCCACAACGAGGTCTTTGAGCCCAAGTACGTATGACATCTACCTCAGTCAATCAGTCAGTCAGTTAATCAGTCAATCAATTAAGGACAAACTTCTCTCTCTATTTCTCTCCATCTCTACCGCACCTGCTGTCTCGACCTCTGAATGCTCGGCTATGAAAAGCCAACTGACATCTACTCCTGAGGTGTTGACCTGTTGCACCCTCTATAACCGCTGTGATTATTATTTGACCCTGCTAGTCATCTATGAACGTTGGAACATCTTGAAGAACGATCTGGCCTTAATGGGCATGTACTCTTATAATCTCCACCTGGCACAGCCAGAAGAGCACTGGCCACACTCGGAGCCTGGTTCCTCTCTAGGTTTCTTCCTAGGTTCCTGCCTTTCTAGGGAGTTTTTCCTAGCCACTGTGCTTCTACATCTGCATTGCTTTCTCTTTGGGGTTTTAGGCTGGGTTTCTGTATAAGCACGTTGTGACAACTGCTGATGTAAAAAGGGCTTTATATAATCCATTTGATCAATCAATTGATATCAATCAGTCAGTCTTTATTGTCTAAATTAGGACATTTGTTAATTTGTTAATTGTGTAATCAGGGTACAAAAGAACATGTACACACACATCATGTACACACACACATTCATTATGTGTTTTAGGTAAACTGTCATTCATAATTTGAACTGCCATCCCTTCCTGTCCTGTTGTCAGACAAGCTGAATCTGCATACTGTTTCCCCAGCAGCACACATCACCCAACTCTGACAACACAGGGCTGGGTTGCGTCCCAATAATCTCTACTTTCTCCCGAAGTCTTCATGGATTTGAAAGGAAATGACTGACATGGAAACTCTTTCTAGCCCATGTCTACACCGGGGGGCATGCTTTGAAATGTATGGGGAGTAGTGAAAGAGTGCACATTTCAGGAGGAAGGAGAGACTTTTGGGACGCAAGTCTGTTTTTTTCTTCAAGGCTAATTGAAGCCCCATTTCGTTTGGTGCCTTATAAATACGACCCAGCAATCTACCCAGTAGCAGTAACCTCAACATAATGGTGTGATATATTTAGCAAATAGCTGTTATAATAATAAAATAAATGATTGATTTGATTAATGAATTGATTATCCCTCATTCCCTCCCAGACCAAGACAGCGCCGCTCCGCCATGGGCGTAGCCAATCAAACGCAGCCGTCAGTCGTGACGACGCCCGCCACCCTGCCCGAAGGTTTCGCCACCCGCGGCCCAGACGACGAAGATGGTAATGGTGTGGAGAGCAGTAAGATCCAGCTGACAGTGTTTTCCAAGGAGTCTACGGTCATCTCCGGCCTCCGACACTTTACCTCGTACCAGATTGACGTGCTGGCCTGCAACCACCCCACAGACCCTTCACGCTGCAGTATGGCAGCCTTCGTCTCAGCTCGCACCATGCCTGAGGGTGGGGCTATCTACATGCTAGTACACTACCCATACACACACCCACTACTTAAAGGGATACTTTGGGGATTTTGGTAATGAGGCCCTTTATCTATTCCCCAGAGTCAGATGAACTCGTGGATGCCATTTTGATGTCTCTGTGTCCAGTATGAAGGACGTTTGATGTAGTTTCGCAAGCCAATGCTAACTAGCGTTAGCGCAATGACTGGAAGACCATGGGTATCTGCTAGCATAAATATGGTATCCACAAGTTCATCTGACTCTGGGGAATAGATAAAGGGCCTCATTGCCAAAATCCCAAAGTGTACCTTTAAGAAACCACTGTAAGAAGTAATAAGCCAGTTTAACATGATCATTTCTTGTCTACTTTTGCACAGTATTTCTAGACCTGAGATGTTTATAGTACATTTTACATTTACATTTTAGTCATTTAGCAGACGCTCTTAACCAGAGCGACTTACAGGAGCAATTAGGGTTAAGTGCCTTGCTCAAGGGCACATTAACGTCATTTAGCAGACGCTCTTAGCCAGAGCGACTCACAAATTGGTGCGTTCACCCTATAGCCAGTGGGATAACCACTTTACAATTTGGGGGGGGGGGGTTAGAAGGAATACTTTAGCCTATCCCAGGTATTCCTTAAAGAGGTGGGGTTTCAAATGTCTCCGGAAGGTGGTGAGTGACTCCGCTGTCCTGGCGTCGTGAGGGAGCTTGTTCCACCATTGGGGTGCCAGAGCAGCGAACAGTTTTGACTGGGCTGAGGGGGAGCTGTGCTTCCGCAGAGGAAGGGGAGCCAGCAGGCCAGAGGTGGATGAACGCAATGTCCTCGTTTGGGTGTAGGGACTGATCAGAGCCTGAAGGTACAGGGGTGCCGTTCCCCTCACTGCTCCAAAGGCAAGCACCATGGTCTTGTAGCGGATGCGAGCTTCAATTGGAAGCCAGTGGAGTGTGCGGAGGAGGGGGGTGACGTGAGAGAACTTGGGAAGGTTGAACACCAGACGGGCTGCGGCATTCTGGATGAGTTGTAGGGGTTTAATGGCACAGGCAGGGAGCCCAGCCAACAGCGAGTTGCAGTAGTCCAGACGGGAGATGACAAGTGCCTGGACCAGGACCTGCGCCGCTTCCTGTGTAAGGCAGGGTCGCACTCTCCGAATGTTGTAGAGCATGAACCTGCAGGAGCGGGTCACCGCCTTGATGTTGGCGGAGAACGACAGGGTGTTGTCCAGGGTCACGCCTAGGCTCTTCGCACTCTGGGAGGAGGACACAGCGGAGTTGTCTACCGTGATGGCGAGATCATGGAACGGGCAGTCCTTCCCGGGGAGGAAGAGCAGCTCCGTCTTGCCAGGGTTCAGCTTGAGGTGGTGATCCGTCATCCATACTGATATGTCTGCCAGACATGCAGAGATGCGATTCGCCACCTGGTGATCAGAAGGGGGAAAGGAGAAGATTAGTTGTGTATCGTCAGCGTAGCAATGATAGGAAAGGCCATGTGAGGATATGACAGAGCCAAGTGACTTGGTGTATAGGGAGAAAAGGAGAGGGCCCAAAACCGATCCCTGGGGGACACCAGTGGTGAGAGCACGTGGTGCGGAGACAGCTTCCCGCCACGCCACTTGGTAGGAGCGACCGGTCAGGTAGGACGCAATCCAGGAGTGAGCCGCGCCGGAGATGCCCATTTCGGAGAGGGTGGAGAGGAGGATCTGATGGTTCACAGTATCAAAGGCAGCAGACAGATCTAGAAGGACAAGAGCAGAGGAGAGAGAGTTAGCTTTAGCAGTGCGGAGAGTCTCTGTGACACAGAGAAGAGCAGTCTCAGTTGAATGACCAGTCCTGAAACCTGATTGGTTTGGATCAAGAAGGTCATTCTGAGAGAGATAGCAAGAGAGTTGGCTAAAGACGGCACGCTCAATAGTTTTGGAAAGAAAAGAAAGAAGGGATACTGGTCTGTAGTTGTTGACATCAGTGGGGTCGAGTGTTGGTTTTTTGAGAAGGGGAGTAACTCTCGCTCTCTTGAAGACGGAAGGGACATGGCCAGCGGTCAAGGATGAGTTGATCAGCGAGGTGAGGTAGGGGAGAAGGTCACCGGAGATGGTCTGGAGAAGGGAGGAGGGGATGGGGTCAAGCGGGCAGGTTGTTGGGCGGCCTGCAGTCACAAGTCGCAGGATCTTATCTGGAGAGAGAGGGGAGAAAGAAGTCAAAGCATAGGGTAGGGCAGTGTGAGCAGGACCAGCAGTGTCATTAGGCTTAACAAACAAGGATCGGATGTCGTCAACCTTCTTTTCAAAGTGGTTGACGAAGTCATCCACAGAGAGAGAGGAGGGGGGGAGGGGGGGGGGGAGGATTCAGGAGGGAGGAAAATGTGGCAAAGAGCTTCCTAGGGTTAGAGGCAGATGCTTGGAATTTAGAGTGGTAGAAGGTGGCCTTAGCAGCAGAAACAGATGAAGAAAATGTAGAGAGGAGGGAGTGAAAAGATGCCAGGTCGGCAGGGAATTTAGTTTTCTTCCATTTCCGCTCCGCTGCCCGGAGCTCTGTTCTGTGAGCTCGCAATGAGTCATCAAGCCACGGAGCTGGAGGGGAGGACCGAGCCGGCCGTGAGGATAGGGGACACAGAGAGTCAAAGGATGCAGAAAGGGAGGAGAGGAGGGTTGAGGAGGCAGAATCAGGAGATTGGAGGGAGAAGGATTGAGCAGAGGGAAGAGATGATAGGATGGAAGAGGAGAGAGTAGTGGGAGAGAGAGAGCGAAGGTTGCGGCGGCGCATTACCATCTGTGTAGGGGCAGAGTGAGTAGTGTGGGAGGAGAGTGAGAGAGAAAAGGAAACAAAGTAGTGGTCGGAGACTTGGAGGGGAGTTGCAGTGAGATTAGTAGAGGAGCAGCATCTAGTGAAGATGAGGTCAAGCGTATTGCCTGCCTTGTGAGTAGGGGGGGACGGTGAGAGGGTGAGGTCAAAAGAGGAGAGGAGTGGAAAGAAGGAGGCAGAGAGAAATGAGTCAAATGTGGACATAGGGAGGTTGAAATCCCCCAAAACTGTGAGGGGTGAGCCATCCTCAGGGAAGGAACTTATCAAGGCGTCAAGCTCATTGATGAACTCTCCAAGGGAACCTGGAGGGCGATAGATGACAAGGATATTAAGCTTAAATGGGCTAGTGACTGTGACAGCATGGAATTCAAATGAGGAGATAGACAGATGGGTTAGGGGAAAAATTGAGAATGTCCACTTGGGAGAGATGAGGATTCCTGTACCACCACCCCTCTGACCAGATGCTCTCGGGGTATGCGAGAACACGGTCAGCAAGGGAAACCATGGAGGGCGATGATGCAAGGATGATATTTGAGTTAAATGGGCTAGTGATCTGTCAAGCAGAGGGACAAATACTTATTTCCCTCATTAAAATGCAAATCAATTTATAACATTTTTGACATGTGTTTTTCTGGACTTTTTTGTTGTTATTCTGTCTCTCACTGTTCAAATAAACCTACCGTTAAAATTATAGACTGATCATGTCTTTGTCAGTGGGCAAACGTACAGAATCAGCAGGGGATCAAATACTTTTTTCCCTCACTGTATGGAATCCTGTAGTAACCAAAAAAGTGTTACAAATCAAAATACATTTTATATTTGAGATTCTTCAAATAGCCACCCTTTGCTTTGATGACAGCTTTGCACACTTTTGGCATTCTCTCAACCAGCTTCATGAGGTAGTCATCTGGAATGCATTTCAATTAACAGGTGTGTCTTCTTAAAAGTTAATTTGTGGAATTTATTTCCCTCTTAATGCGTTTGAGCCAATCAGTTGTGTTGTGACAAGGTAGGGGCGGTATACAGAAGATAGCCCATTTTGGTAAAAGACCAAGTCCATATTATGGCAAGAACGGCTCAAATAAGCAAAGAGAAACAACAGTCCATCATTACTTTAAGACATGAAGGTCAGTCAATACGGAACATTTCAAAAACTTTAAACGTTTCTTCAAGTGCAGTCGCAAAAACCATCAAGCGCTATGATGAAACGGGCTCTCATGAGGACCGCCACAGGAATGGAAGACCCAGAGTTACCTCTGCTGCAGAGGATACGATCATTAGAGTTACCAGCCTCAGAAATTGCAGCCCAAATAAATGCTTCGCAGAGTTCAAGTAACACACCCATCTGAACATCAGCTGTTCAGAGGAGACTGTGTGAATCAGGCCTTCATGGTCGAATTGCTGCAAAGAAACCACTACTCAAGGACACCAATAAGAAGATACTTTTTATTTATTTTATTTTATTTTTATTTTTTGGGGGGTAGATCAGCTTAATATTGCAGATAGATTGTAAATTCCATCAATGTAATTGTCTGCATCACTTCCAATCCCCCATGTTTTTATATATATATATACAGTCATGGCCAAAATTGTTGGCACCCCTGAAATTTTTCCAGAAAATGAAGTATTTCTCACAGAAAAGTATTGAAATTACACATGTTTTGCTATGCACATGTTTATTTCCTTTGTGTGTATTGGAATAACACAAAAAAAACAGGAAAAAAGCAAATTTGACATAATTTCACACAAAACTCAAAAAATGGGCCGGACAAAATGATTGGCACCCTTAACTTAATATTTAGTTGCACACCCTTTGGAAAAAATAACTGAAATCAGTCGCTTCCTATAACCATCAATAAGCTTCTTACACCTCTCACCCGGAATTTTGGACCACTCTTCTTTTGCAAACTGCTCCAGGTCTCTCATATTGGATGGGTGCCTTTTCCCAACAGCAATTTTAAGATCTCTCCACAGGTGTTCAATGGGATTAAGATCTGGACTCATTGCTGGCCACTTCAGAACTCTCCAGCGCTTTGTTGCCATCCATTTCTGGGTGCTTTTTGAAGTATGTTTGGGGTCATTGTCCTGCTGGAAGACCCATGATCTCGGACGCAAACCCAGCTTTCTGACACTGGGCCCTACATTGCGACCCAAAATCCTTTGGTAATCCTCAGATT